ATTTAATGTTTAATATAATTGGTATTGTTTTTTAATTATTCTTAATTAATTTGTCCTGGGATCATTTTAATAGGGGTGTTTTTGTTGTTGTTTTAGTTTGTTGGGGGTTTTTGTTTTTTGTTTATTTTGAAAGATTATTTTTCAATCCCAACGATTCTACGGAAATACGGGGAAATGGTAGTCTTGCAACTGACCTATCTCTATGGCAAAGAAAATCCACTTGAGTACCAGGATTTTAGTTAGAGTGGTGTAAGTCTAGTTAAAAGGTAGCCTGTTACTCATTCCTTTGTCATAAAGTATTAACAGAGGTGTTAATCAACTATGTATACACTCCTTCAAATAGTGTTTCAGTTGCATATTAATGTATTTTCTTGTACTACATTAGTAAATGAGAGTTACAATTAAATAATCTATGTTCCTCCTTTTGGAGTAGACTAAGAAATGGGTGCACAAATAACAGAAAATATTAGCTGAACTGTAAAAATTGAAAAATTTTTGAATGACGGATTTGTGTCCTTTTACTCCAGTTAGCTATTGAATTTCTTGCCACCACTCATTGTGCAGGCAATGTTGTACATGGCTGCATGTTGATACGGATTAGGGAACTGAAATAACTGTCAATTTATGTCTTAAGGTTTCCACTGCCATTAATTTCTTTCTTTGTTGTTGTTACCTTTAATAGAATAGTAGAATGCAACTCTCTTGAACTTTATAGATTGGGCAAGTTTCATTAATAAATTGTGTGTGTGTGTGTGTGACCTTTCAGATTTTTAACATGTTTTGAAAGATTTTACAAATTAAGTAACTGTTAAAGTAAATATAGAAACCTGCTCACATGTACCATTGGTTTGTGTATTTTCTGCCAATGGACACTATCATTTTCCTAATGACTAAATCATTCATGTTGGGGGTTTATAAAAATACACAACTGTAAATGACAAATATTGTTTTTCTTATTTTAATCTCAGACACACAAATACATCCTGAATGACAGAAGTAAATCCATACATGTTTTCTCTGTCATTTTGTTGGAGAACTATCTGAAGCTGGAATAGCTTTTATTAAAATTGCATCAGTCTAACACATAAAATCACTGGACTGAATTAGCACTTCAATTAACAGTTGCTTGATTTTATTCCAGTCAGAGCCTCTGTCAGTTTTCAACTTACTTTGATTTCTTTTTAGATAGGAGTGTCATTGTAAATCATTTAGAAGAGGAAATTAATAACAGACCCCCTAACAGTACTTCCTTCTGTAGTAATGACATGTTCTAATTGCTTATAATATAGCAATTCTTGACGATATGGGGCTTATGGGCAGAAACCAGACTCTTCGGGAGAAAAATGTTCAGCTGTAGAGAATTCCCTGTAAAGTCTTCAGGGGAATAAAATTCCTTTTTCTACAGTTTGACATTTACATTGACATATTGCAGCTTCGTTTCTAGATGTGCCACTCAGAAATACCCTCAAAGTTTTAGGAGGTTAGCTTGTAAAGTAGCTGAGCTCTTAAGACCTATTAAAAAATGAATCTGCCAGTACTCCGAAGATGTTAATCTCTTCTTATATCAGAATCCATCATAGAAAATAGATGAGAACCTTGGATCTTTTTGAAATTTGGTAGTGCATTCAGTATATACTACCAGCAGATAATAACTCCATCTCTTATGGCTGCTTACATTTCTCTTTAAAGGATCTTGATTGTTAATTGCTTGAAACTTTGCCAAGCTGTAACAGGTTGGGCTGGAATTTTCCATTTAAAGAGAAGAAAAGGGCAATATGGATTCCTCATTTCCTGTATGCTAAATGAAGCAGGGGCCTGTGGGAAAAATAGTATGCAATCAAATAATTAAACATTCTGCCATAAAGTGTACACCTAGGGAGAGGAGTTGAGGGGAGCATATAGCTTGACTTCTGGCTTCTTCCATCCTTTCAACACTTAACTTCATGACTTTGTTTTGTGCATAACAAGGTATAATTTTATGTCACTTATTTGTGAGTATAGCAAAATACTGGCATAGCGAAAAAAATGCATTTGACATCGATATCCCTGAATTTGATCATGGGTTTTGGGGGGTGTTCATGTTCTTTTGGGGTTTCTTTCCTGTTTGGATTTTTCTTTTTTAAATTTGGCTTGGGTTTTTTGGGAATTGTTCTTTTAGTTTGGCCCTAGCCAGCAACAGAATGACTTGAGTACTTCTGGGACTGAAACATCAGCTACTTCTGTATATGTAATCAGATATCCAAGACCAGTACATGAATACAGAATGCTCTGTACATCCTTGAATTAGAAATCCCGGTGTGCTAGATTTACAAGCTTGCACCTTTTTTGGAAAAACTCTATTTGCTCATAAAAATCATATTGGCTCCCCTTAGCCTTGGCTCAGTGTGACTTCTGACTCTACATCACACTCATTTCATCTCTGGGCTTTGGTTTGGTCTTTTTGCATGCACTGCACCCTAACTCCTGAAACTCAAACTGTTGTGCCACATTTTGCCTGGAATCGCTATCGACTGGTGACAAAGATAGCAAAAAAAAAATATCTAACTGGACTAGTCCAATTTTCTTTCATCAAGAAAATCCTCCATAGCCCCTGTAAATAACTCAAGGTGAAGTATCACTCCCGTGATAAGAGTTCCTTCTATTTTATTTCTTTGAGCATGTAGGTGGTACCTTTTTCTCTGAGTTTTGGGGGTGTGATAGTTGGCCTCAAGTTTGAACAGAGAACACTGGTCTTTCTCTCTCTCTCTGGTGCACTCACAGCTATTTATTTCCATGTGATGCAGAACTGGGAGCAGTAACTCACTTGGAGACAGCTTTAGCCATCCTCTACTTGGGTCAGACGTAGTCCTCTCTTGATCCTCCAGTGGTGGCACTGGATAAACTGTGACTTTATAGTTCTGGGAACATGATTAGCCATTTATTTGGAATGAATCAGCTGGTGAGATGATGAAATTCTGACTGCTGTAGGCATTTTCAGTCTGTCATTGAATTGGGTGGGGGCGCATTTACATCTAGGTTCTTGATGTATTATGATTAAATGCAAGGATATTCTGTATTCTCCCTACCACTCCATGATGTGCAATGTAGATTGATGGAAAAGTAGTAACTTCTCTATAGTAGATGTGATAAAATTTCTGTTATTTTGAGACTTTTGACTGAAACTTAGCAACCAGAGCACTCTCTTGAAATTCTGTTCCAACAAGACTTTATCTCAACCATGCTCTTTCAGCACAACTAAGGCCGTAACTCAATCTCCTCACTCAAGTGTTTGCAAAGCTATTTTGCTTTTTCATTGCAGGTGTTCAAAGCACTTCACTCTTTTCAAGATCTCTGCCCATTTAAAAACCAGCAAATTATAAATGAGATGATAAATTCTGGAGACCTTGAGAAATTTTGAGCATTCTCACTAACATTTGTTTCACCTTGTAGGGGAAGCCTATATGAGAATGAGCCGGCTGCCAGAAGCAGAGCGCTGGTACATGGAGTCACTGCGATCCAAGAGCGACCACATCCCAGCCCATCTCACCTATGGAAAACTGCTGGCTCTGACGGTGAGTTAATCAGCAGCTCCTGGGAGTTGGTCCCAGGCCCTTCGAGTAGGCGAGGTAAAGGAACGGGAAGACTTTGTCCTGAAAATTGCTTATTGCCCTATTTCTCACATTATTTCAGTCATGCCTTCTAATTAAGCATTTTGACAGCGTCGGTTTTTTTGTGAAACATTGCATTCATTCCTGAAATATCACCACCTCTGTGTCGTGAATGGGTGATTTAGATCGCTTAAAGAACCTGTCAAAGGCATTAGCAAAAGCGATTTTAATATGATGTTGTAAAAGTGTGGCTTAACAAAGTTTGATGGCAAGGTTCATTCTGTTACTGTACAGCACAATCATTTGAACAATGATTCAAAACTATCAAGGCACCAGTCAAAGTTACCAAGTCAAAATCAAAGTTACCAGGGCACAAATCAAAACTTACCAAGGCACAAATCAAAGTTACCAGGGCAAAATCAAAGTTACCAAGTCAAAATCAAAGTTACCATACTATGAGGTTATGCGCGATATCGGTCACTTACCAAAGACCTGCCACTGGTAAAAGGTCTCTCCTTGAGAAGCAACCTTGAGAGGTGTCCCAGCTCAAGGGGAGATCACCACCGTGCAGCCAGGCTGGCTAGCAGGGAGAGCTCGAAGAAGGCTCACTTAGGCTGTCATATTTATGGAATAAAGCGGTTGGCTTGTAGTCAGATGACATGCGATGGGAAAGGTATGCATGGGAGTCCTTGTACCCACAACATTCTTTGTTCCTTGATAAACGAGTCTTGGAAAAGCCACCCGCTATTCATGTGTTAATCGCATGCTCGGTGTTCCAAGCTCACATGCATCGATGCTCACTGTGTGGCTCTGCTCCTTTGTGGGTTTTCAGAGAACAGATTGAAACCAGAGGAGTTCTTGGCCCGTTTACGGCTTAGGCCTCTACCTCCTTTGGAGCCTGAACCAAACTACTGCTAGTTTGGTTAAGGGGTTGAGTGCATCCGTCACACTCTGTGCCTGAAGAAGACAGTTATAATAATGTAGGAATTTCTTAACAGACAGTAAGGAGTTCTCTGGTTGAAAAAGCCTTTATTATAAGTAGCTTAGTTCACAAGTAATGGTATTAATAGAAAAAGATATCCAGTGATTGACCCAGGGTTGTTGTAGCAGCCTATGGCAGAGCTTGAGGTGTCACCTATACTTTATGAATTACATGTCTCATGCTTTGAATTTACATTTTAGGAGTATCTCTTTGAGCATGTGAAAAGAACTACTCAACTACTAAAAGCTAGTTCTAAAAAAATCAGAAGAGTTGGACTTTTTAATTTCTTCAAAATTTACTTTGCCTTTTGTGTATAGATGAGCTTGTAGCTCCAGCTAAACTAGCCCCATATAACAGTTATAGCAGACTGCCAGTCCCTCTTTGGTTTTCACATGTTTTGAAGATGAAAATGGATTTCTATTTTATTCACTAAAATAATTCTGTTTTAAAACTGCCTTTCGCTTGTTTTCCATTTCTCATTCCCATTTTTCTGACTATATCCTCTTTCCTGTCTATCTCTTCCACATTTGCTTTCATGGTTCCACCCAAGTGGTTTCGTATTTCCTTTCTGTGCTTTGCTGATATGCCTTTGTATGGCTCTTCAGTCCTTGTGTCTCAGTCTGAATATCTTCCTCAACTTTTCACCTAATTGTAAGCTTTTACTCTGACCTTGTTTATGCCCTGTCCAGTGAAGAAAAATAGCTCATAATTAATTTCAGCAGATCCATTGCTGCTAAAAGTATCTGAATTTGGAAAAGGGAGAGAAATTCGAACAGAAGTTTTCTATATGAGCAATAAGTGACAACATAATTAGAAAGAATTAAAAATTGTTCAGTGTTATCATGTAATGTCAAATACAGAGTTTGATTAAAAACTACCTTGGATGTGAATTTTTAGCTTGCAATGGAAGTCAAGGTGCTAGTGTTATATCCCCACTGCCTGTCAGTTCCAGGCCCTGGAAAGGCAGGTTTTTTGCTACAATTTCTGGTTACAGTTAAAATTTCTTGGATATTGACAAATACATGCACTCACTGATTACCTTCCTCTGGGATAGAACTGTAAGTAGGTTATACAGCAGAATTTCCTAATTTACCCTGCTTTTCTAGCAGATATCTTCATATCTTGCACCTAAGAATAGTAGAAGAAAGTCAGCATTACTGGTTTCTTCTTAGCAGATCTTTGACACAAAAGTTCTAATTTATTAGAATTGCTGTGGGGAAAGAAAGAGTTTTCTCAATTAAAATCCAAATATCTTTTTTTTTTTTCTTTTTTCTTCTTTTCTTTTCTTTTTTTTCCTTCTTTTCTATTCCATATGCACCGCCCTGCCCCAGTACTCCCCTGGTTAATTTTGCATTTTCTGAACTGCTGAGTATATGAAATATGAGGTCTGCTAGAGAAAGTCCTGAAGTTGTTCTGGGAAACAAGGTCTCACAGTTTTCTTCAAAATAACAAAATCCCCACATCCCATAACTCTGTACAAACATTGTGAGCCAGTAAAAATAAATTTTTAATTTCGTCCCTTTACAATGAAAGTTCAGTTATAGGATTAAACATTAGTGGCATACCCCAACTTTGGGAAGGAAGTGATGAAAAATGTACGTGAATCCTTATAGTAGAATTGAACTGTTTACTTTTCTCCAGGGATATAAACGCAAGGTACATGTGAGGTGGATTGTGCCTTGAGGATCTGAACGATGTTTGTGGAAGAATGTGTCTCATTAGCAAAAAGGACAGGAGCTGTATACAATTTTGAACACTGAATACTGCACTATGACAGGCAATAAAATACTCTGCCTATCCTTTCTCAATTCACACTTGCTTACCTATACTTGCTCTGTGCCATAATTGTTGTCTGTTCTCATCACGTTTGTGTTTTCATCCCGTGACACTTTTTTCTTTTATTACTGTTGCTTCTTCTCATATTCATGGCAATATGTACAGATAGGGTTCATGTCCATTCTATTAACAGCAGCATAAACTGAAAAGATGGTGCTGATGTCCTGTTGGCTTGTAGTGACATAGGACTTCATAAACACATAGCAAGGCAACATGTTGATGACAAAGTAATTAGAGATGGCAGAAAATTTTTCAGGTGGTTATTTCATTCATGGAAAAAAAAGTTCATTTATCTTTGATCTATTGAAATTTTGCATTTATTTAATTTAATTCTTTCAGCTCCAAAGTCTGAAAAGACATTCAACAGGAAAATGGATGATGAGATTTGGCAATAGAATGCGGATTTTTGTCTCCATGTTGGTCACTTATCCTTAATCAGTTTTGCAGCCTACCATCTGCTCGGTGATTCACATTAACTGAATTTTGTCTAGTTTCTAGTATACTGAACTGTACTAGTATTAGTTCCCATTGCAAATATATGATTGCTGTAACTGACATGCTTCCTGGAAATCTGCATAGACTTCCTTGGGATTCAATAGCATTAGAGCTGCTCCCTTTGGCATAGTTGTTTCAGCCCATACCTAACTTGAGGTACAGCTCTGATTTATTCTTCTGCTAAACTTTGCTACCTAGGCTCATGGTCATTTTGTCACAGCCTGTATATTTAGGAGAGAGAAAAGCCTACTTCAGTGAGTTTTCAGATGTTAGAGGAGAGATGTTTTAAAGGCTTCTGTCCCCTCATCTGTTGGAATCAAACCTTCAGACTTTTTGCAATCCTGTTTCTGAATGTAAGTGCTGAGACAAAACTATGGATAACACTTTTCTGTGTCTCTTTTCCAGGGGAGAAATGTGAGATTGTTGATGAAGTGAAGGGTGGAAGTGGGTGCCAATACAGATAGAAAATTTTTCTCTGTCAGTGAAGTTGGGGGGTGAGGGAGGAGAGGAGGAAGGTTTCAGACAAGTTCCTAAGTTCCAGCCAAATCTAGTATAAAAACCAATAGCAGTAAAGTCAAACCTGTAAAGTTCACAAATTCAGCTAAGTTTTACTTCCTGACTTAAATTCCAATGAAGTGGCTTAATTTTAACCCCAGCTTTTCTGCCTCCTCAAGTCTGTTGCCAGTATTAATGCTTACTAAAAGCAGCATGATATGATTCATTTAATCCCTTAGTGGCAGTCTGGATAACTGGACTGCCTTCTTGTACCTTCTATTTTCTTTGCCTTCCCATAAGGCACTGTGAGGGTGACCTATGCCCAGTGTATAGACCAGAGATTTGAAAAATGGCTTGCTCGTTACAGCAGAGTATCCTTTCCCAACTTTCAGCGAAAGCTTTTCAGAATTTCGTAAACAGGGACATAGAAATAAATGAGAGTTCTAGAGTGTAAGCTCTTTGTTTTGTTCATGTTGTCTGGCCTTGGTTCTGTCAAACACAAGCTAGGAACTCTGCACGTTTTCTAAATCCACAATGACCTGTGCCTGTCTTTTCTTTTTCTTTTTTATTTTAATATGGAGTTCCACAGCACATTTAAAATAAAGGCACCATATACTAGATGAGTTTATTAGCTTAGCAATGAAAAATACATTTGTTTGTTGATTTTTTTTATTATTTCCTACTTGAACAATAATGTGCATGAGCAATCTGATCTAAATAAAATATTAACTCTACTTTGAGCAGGGGATTGGACAGGATAATATCTGAAGGTCTCTTCCAACATGAATCATTCTGTGATTCAGTGTACCTTTCTTTTTTGTCATGCTGAAGTTAGTTCCAGTTTACTAAAATGTAGTGTTTTGAATCAAAGTTGAGGTACAGACATGTATTTAATATTAACACCTATTATCCTCTCTTACTGAAAAGAGATTTTAGAGGAGAATTAGCTTCTACCAGAATGGGTTACCTTTTGCAAGGTCATGAATGGAATGTAAAACTGTGAAAAAGGCTTCTACCAGAATGGGTTACCTTTTGCAAAGTCATGAATGGCATGTAAAACTGTGAAAAAAGTAAATCACAATTCAAACACTGTGATAAACTTAAAATGATTATAACCATGCTGTAAGTGACAGATACTAATTCATGTCATCATCTC